CATAGGAAACTAACTCACATGGACATCCCGGGTTATAGCAAGTGGTAAAGAATTCGGGCTCTGGGGCCAGGCAGCATGGGTGTAAACCCTGCCTCCTCCACTTAATGGATGGGCAACCTTGAACACGTAATTTAGCATCTCTGAGCCTCAGTTTCCCCGAGTATAAAACAGAAATCAGTAACAGCACTTCCTCCTAGATTGTTGGGAAAGTTAAATGAGATCATAGATATCTAGAACAGTGGCTCCCATAGAGCGGACCCTCAATGAACATCAGCAATTTTGATGATTAATATAATAGCCAGACTACAGGGTCAGTGTGGCTTCCCAATTTGCTGTACCCTAGGGAATTTTTAAATCAATATTCTAATTCTCTTTATAGCTATGTATGGCTTTGTTGGTTCAGAATTCATTAAGGCCTTTGAGTAACTATTGATACTTTCTCCCTGTACTACTCAACAGCCACCAAACTCTAATGCCACCTCTCCCTCCAAACTCTAATGCAGCCTCCCCCATCAGCCCAGGCAGCAGCAGCCCCGGTGGCCCGTCTCCACATTCCTCCATCATCCTGGGCCCCTTTCCGAGCCTTCAGGCTGGGGTTGTGGTTCTTTCTGTACCATTCTCATGTCCCCATCTAAAAAACTCAACGATAAACCGCTTTATTCATTCTGCCTCATTCAAAGCTCCCAGCCCCCGGCCAGGTCAAGCCAGGTCGGGGAGTGTTTGCTGAATGAGTAAGTTTATTACTATCGTATAAAATAGCACTTGCATTTAACCACTCTAAATTTATATCACATAAGGTTCAAAGGTTGCGCCTTTGTCTATTGTGAACAAATCTGTTCTCACCATTACCACACTCTACCCAATTTTGTACTTGTCCATCATTTTTACTTCCACCTTCACCTCTCTCCAGTGGTCGGCAAACTCATTAGTCAACAGACTAACGATTGAAATTTCTTTTGAGAGCCAAATTTTTTAAACTTAAACTATATAGGTAGGTACATTGTTATTAACTTAATTAGAGTACTCCTAAGGCTTAGGAAGAGCCACACTCGAGGGGCCAAAGAGCCGCATGTGGCTCCCGACCCGCAGTTTGCCGACCGCGGCTCTAGGCTATAGAGCTCTGACCCCTTTCAGTTCCTGCCCCAGCCCCTCCAGGACATTTCCTGTCCCCTGCTGCCAGCCTGAGGAGCCCCCTCCCCCAGCCTCACTGTGAGCACTTTGGAACTTGATGTACACAAAACAAGATAAGCCTCCAGTCCTCACGTGGATCTGGCACTGTCTGGACTTTGTGGCCCCTGCAGCTTATGGAGAATGGAGAATTCTTTTCATGTGCTCCCTCCTGAGCCCCAGGCTACAGGACAGCTCCACCCAGAAATCCATGGTTACCACAAACTCAACAGGCCCACCTGGAGGCCATTTTCAACCACCAAAAAGAGGCCCCTGCCCTCCCATCACGCAGGATCTAAGACCACCTGCCTTAGTGCCTCCACAGCCCATCATCAAATGGACCCTTCCTCTCCATTTCCAGGGGAGTTGGAGTCAGGCCAGGATGGCTCTCGGTGCCTCTCTCCAAATCTGCTCTGGCAGGGGTGACCCACCCAAGGAGGGCCTCTCTTGTCTAAAAGCCTCCACTTGGCTTTAATGCTCCTGTCACCCAAAGATGTTCCCTCACCACTGACCTTACCCACCAAACCTCGTGCCCACTCGGTACCTGCTCCCTTGCCTTCCAGGCACCCTACACTCTGCTCAGTTCCCCTGCACAGCCACGCATGTGTTTTTCCTACCTTCTCAGACTGCCATTCTTTCTCCTTACTGTTTACTTGTCCAAAACCTCATCAGTCCTCGTGGTGAACTGGAGTACCCAGAGGAGGGTGCAGATTAGGAACACAGAAAACTACAGATGCCATAGGTGGTCTCTGACCCGACCTCTGAACCCCTCCCTGAGGACCCAGAATACATTCAGAGGGTGGGAGTGTTGCAGAGGGCCGAGGTCCTCCAGTGTGGGGGTGGGGCAGCACAAACCAACCTAGTGTTAAAATGGCTAACGTCAAGTTAATTATTTGCTGTGTGGCCCCAGGTAGGTGATTCACCCTTTCTGAGCCTCAATTTCCTGTCTGTCTTCACTTCCTTACACAGTCTTCCTTGTGAGAGTCATATGAACTACCTGCTCTGAATGGCTTTGTAAATAGCGGAGCCCTCTGTGAGTGGGGGCAGGTGGCCTCCAGGTACCATCAAACCTGCTGGAGTCCCCTTGGAATGGCCCTATGTGCCCAACCTCCCCGCCCCTGACAGCTCTCTGCACTTATCATAGATGCGTTTTGACTCTTTTGCATGCTAAGGGTTTCATCTGTGTCAATGCCTTAGGAACAGGAGCCTTTACTTCTTTTTTTTTTTTTAATATATTTTATTGATTTTTTTACAGAGAAGAAGGGAGAGGGATAGAGAGTTAGAAACATCGATCAGCTGCCTCCTGCACGCCCCCCAGTGGGGATGTGCCCGCAACCCAGGTACATGTCCTTGACCAGAATCGAACCTGGGACCCTTGAGTCCGCAGGCTGATGCTCTATCCACTGAGCCAAACCGGTTCGGCAGGAGCCTTTACTTCTGAGGGTGACTGTCTCTAATCATGGCTGGACACACAGAAGCTGTGCACTTCCTGACTGTTGGGCCCATCATCATCATCATCATCACCACCACGACCATCATCATCCCTCTCCTCAGATAATCTGACCAAAGAGTGACTCAGAATCTGCTCAAGGAGTGGGGACAGGGAGGACCCTCCTAAGATCGGTGTCCTCCCCTCCCCTCCTATAGCTTCCTATTCTCTGTTTATTACCTTAAAGCTAATATATCTGTATTAATGTATTTTTATAATGTCCCTAAATCCACACACTTTATACTCACAGCCCTCACTCCTCTCCCCTGAGCTCCTCCTGGCCTGCGCTACTGCCCCCCAGCATGTCTGGGTAGGGGAAAAGGAGGTATGTCAGGGCATGACAAGCTGAAGTGGACTCCAAGGGCCTACATTCCCTCCTGCATAGGCCCTGCCCACTCACCATCCCTCTCCACACACCCTGCAGGTCCTTCAACTCAAGAGCTGCCTCTTCTATCTAGGGCCCTGGGCTCCATCCCCCATTGCCCCTTGCCCCAGTGTCTGCCCTGCCCACCCCTTCCCCAGAACTCTTCCCGCCTCTGGGGAATCAAGAGACTCTGTTCTGCATGAGGGGACCCACTGGAAATCAGCTTGTAATCTGTCGCTTCCCAGGCAAATCGCCCTGACAAGATTCAACAAGGACTCCAGAGCCTGTCTGCCCCTCATCTCTTCATTCATGAGGGGCTTTCCCAGGGGCCCCTGAGGCTCTCCCCCAAACAAGCAGGGAGGCTGTGGACTCCTTCACTCCCAGGGCTGGCAGCCTGTACAGTGAGTACATCTGTGAGGTCAGAGCCCTGGCCCTCCGGGCAGAAGCAGCCCCCTGTTTAGGTAAAGAAAAAGTCCCTCTTCTCCCAGGGGAAGCCTGCAGAGCAGAGGGGATAGATTCCAGCCCCGACTTAGCCCCTGGGCCAGGGGCTTTGTGCTGGCCATCACCTGCACACGCACAGGCCATGCCCCTTCCTCTGCACCCGCAGGTCTCCAGGGTGACCGCTTTAGCATCCCAACGGTAGGGTGAGGTCATGGTTGGTGCCCAGCCCTTTGGCAGCACCATCCCCTGCGAAGGGAGGAAGAGGGGGAAGTAGGGAGGCCAGCACATGCCAAAGAGCTCCAGGCCAGGCTGGGTCTCACTCACCAGGTGTTGAGGCAGTGGTGGGTGCCCAGAGCCAGAGAGCCAGTGGCAAGATCCAAATCACCAGCCCCTCCTAGAGAGCAGGGGCCCTGGCTACAGGATCTTCCCCGTCAGGAGACCCAGAAATGAGCGCCTCCCAGGGAGGGGTCAGCTATAAAAAGGACCCCGGAGACCTTTGCCTTGGGGAAGGACAGCTCCTGGCCCGGGGTGAGGGTGCAGTAATGGGGCTGGGTGGGTGGTGCATAGTGACCACAAGGAGTTGTACAAAGGGAAGCCTGTCAATCCTCCTCCCCTCTAACTCCTGGAGAGCTGACCACCCAGAGCCTGGGTCTTTCCAGGAAGCCAGTCACAGGTGGGGCAGGGCCAGAGGGAAGGACAGGAAGCCAGGGGTGTGATGTGTGACAGGGGCCAAGAAATGCCAGGGAGAGGGTGACTATGGAGGTAGGGGTGACAAACTCTGGAGGGAGCAGCCAGCAACAGGAAGGATTGAGTGAAGGACCCTCCACCCCAATCCCTGAGAGGCCCCTCTTTCCTCCAGCCTTCCTTCCCCATCATTTACCTCAAGCTGGCCCCTTTCAAAGAAGCACACACCTTCCCCAAAGCCAATGACCACCAGTCCCTCTCCTGGGCGGGGCTCCATTCACACCTGAGGTTTCATGGTCCTGGTCTCCACCCCTGGCCACTGCCAGTCCCTTGACAGTCCTGGGAAAATGGCCCAGGAACCTGTCCCAAACTCGCACCCAAAAAAACCTCACATGGTCAGCCCCGGCCATCCTCAGCCCCAGTCCAGCCGGCCTCGCTACCCACAATAGGGGGAACAGAAGGGCCCAAGCCCCAGGTGTGGCAGGCCCTCGTGTGAGTGTGTCTGCCACCCAGGCTTGGGGAGGCTCGAGGCTCAAGGTCTTTGGGGAGGCCCTGCTCACCCGTCGGCACAAATGGCAGTGCACCCAGTCCAGACTGCCCACCTCTCTGACCCAGCCCTAAGCTCCTGATGTCAAGAAGGGAAGAGTACAGATCAAAATCCCAACAGGCCCCCATGGAGAGGCTTCCCACTCCCTAAGACAATGGGCCTCCCAATCTCTATGTTCCCTATGAGGGACCCCGTCCTTCCCGAGAAAACTAGCTTTCCCCGGCTCTCCTACAACATCTCCTCCAGATGTCCCTGTTTACCAACCAAGTGGAGGCACCAGGAAGTGAGAAGAAGAGACACAGAGCAGCTTCTTTTGCAATAAATGTTATATTGTGTTCCAAGGGAGAATTGGAGACTTGCAGACTTCCTGTCCCCAAAAGAGACCTCCCTGCCTAGGAGGCTGGGCTTCTGGCCTCAGAGGTTACTGCAGAGACAGGGGTGGAAGCAGGTACAGAGTGAGGAGGAGGAAGAGCTGGGAAGAGGGTAGAAGGTGGGTGAGGCAGTGAGGAGGGGAGGGAGAATGAGGGGAATGAGGAGGAGGGGACTGAGGGAGCTTCTCCACCACTTCCCTTCAGCCTTGACGACCTGGGGGAACCCATGTCCCAACCCTCCCCCCACCCCCACAAGTATCCAGGGCCCTTAGAAAGGAGAGGAAGGGATGGAACCTCAGAATGGGGGACGAGAGCCTGGGGAACACAGCTGGGGGGTTCTAAGATGACGGGGGCATCTGTACCTAACTAGGGACAGGGGCGTTGGGGGAGAAAGGAAGATTTAGGACTGGGGCACTGAGGTGGAGAGTAAGGGCTTAGGGCTGAGGGTACAAGGATGGGGAGGGAGAGAGTGGGAGGAGATCAGGGCTGTGGGCTGGGATATGGGGAGAAGTGGTTTAAGAAGTGGTTTCGGGGGGGAGACAAAGTAAAAGAATGGGAGTAAGGGCTATGGCAGGGAATTCTCTAAGGAGGGAAGGAGGCTGGGGTGGTTCGGGGGCTGGCTAAGGTGAAGGTGAGGAATAGGCAGAATGGAATGCTCACAGAAAAATAAAGACTAAGGCCTGAGACCCAGCCAAGGATGCGGGGACTGCGGATCTGAGAGAAGCCATCTAAGCATGAGGGCTGACACAGGAAGGGGTATTGGGATAGAAAACCGACTGAGCACTTCTGGTTTTCACAATAACTGTACCGGTATCAGAACAAGTGTGCTATGCGAATTCTACAGGTTTGGAGAAGTTAACAGATTTCCCCAAGGTCCGACAGAGGAAGTGCCTGGGTCCGAACTGGGTCTCCAGATGGGTTTCACCCAAAGTGGGAGAAGGATGGAGGTCAGAGGACGGTCAGATTTTGCCCAAGAAAACCAGGACACGGAGCGGCATGAGACCTGGGCCATCTCTGGAACTGGACACGGTGCAGGTGGTTCCTTCTTGCTGCCTGGGGCAGTGCGGAGGGGGTAATGCAGAGCTCACAGCTGGGACAAGGCCACCTCAGGTCTCTGGATGTGTACCTACCAGAGTATGTGAGAGCGGGAGTGAGAACAGGGAGCCACCCGGCTCAGACTGGCTGGGAGGTTTCTGCCCCCTGGTTCTCGTTCAGCCCCCTGCCCTTGTGGAGAGCTCCTTACCATCCATCCCCCTTTTGCCACCTCACCTGCTTACTGGTGTCCACAGTCTCCAAGGCCACGTGGAAGTTTTCCTCCTTGACTTGAGAGAAAAGCAGAAGGAAAAATCACGTGGAGGGAAGGAAATGTGAGTTAGGCAGGGTTCAGGGGCCCCTGTGCCCCTCTGGCTGCCCTGCTAGGGCGGCCTGTGCAAGACATTGGCCTTCCGCAGGACGGGCGTGGGCAAGCAGGAGGTAAGCTCCCCAGTAGGAGGTATATGTCTGTCCTGGGCAAGCGGGGTCTTTGGGTCCTGTCCAGCCCCTGCCCTGCTCCTCCGGGAGGCATGATCACCTGTTCTGTCGTCTTCGAAGCCCAAGTTTATAAAAGTCCCCACAGTGTTGTCATCACACATCTCGAACCATTTCCTGTCGTCCTCGTCGTCCCAGGACCTGGTTCAGGGTACTCACGGTCAGGGCAGGGCTACCGGGTCTGAGACCCCTTTGCCACTCTCACCCGCAACCCCCAGAGCGCTCACCAGACTCCGCCTTGGCCGCGCCTCTTCCGGGAACGCACCACGAAGATGCCGAGGGCCGCCAGCAGCAGCAGCACCGCCGCGGCCCCCGCTAGGCCCCCAACCAGTGCCTTCCAGGCAACAGACACCTCGCAGCGTGGGCCCGAGAACCAGTGCGTGTCCGTGGAGAAGCAGCTGGAGGAGGGACCCACAGATCACAGATCCTGGCCACCACCCAGGCGGTGTCCATTCGGCACCGGGACCCCGCGGGTACGACCAGGTGGGCGGGGCTCCACCC